GCCATCGCTATTTGGATGGAGGCCATCGCTATTAGGTTGGAGGCCATGGCTATTAGGATGGAGGCCATGGCTAGCAAATTTAGTTGTTTGCGGAAAGACAGCCCATTTTTTTGCGTGTGTGCGTGGTGCACTTAGGTGGGCTGCCCTTGGGAAGCGAAGGGAACATGCTGCCGAGAAGAAAGAAACAAAGGAAGTGGAGAAGGCAGTGATTCTTGGATACATGCCTGCCACTTGCCTTCTAGGTTCTTGGAAGTCATACTCATACTACTTGTCTTTTCAGAAGTACTGAGAGCGAAACTTTTGCGACTTCTCACGGACGAGTTGCTTGGCTTCATTCGTGGGATTGCTATATCTGGCGCCAGGATGATCCATGGGCAGCTTTGGGTCGAGGCGCAAAGCTCGAAATGCATTGTGAACAAATTGTGAATTATGTTCCACTGGTGCTTGGGCCAATTTGTTAAGGGCACCGCTACTAGGAGCAAGGACGCTACTAGGGGCTCCTGGCCTTACTACTAGGAGCAGGGACGCTACTAGTTAAGTTTCCCTAAAGATCTAGGAACCAAATCATTAGCGTGAGCTATTCCGGTCCTTCCTAGAAGCTAGCTTAGCCCTTACTTCGTTAAGTAGGCGCCTATTTAATTAAGTAGTAGGAGGGCAGAGCAGACTAAACCAAGTTCCACATTGTTCCACTGGTGCTTGGCTGAACCTGCTAGGGCGGCTGAATTCCATGAATGGCCAGCAGCCCTCCACTCCGTTGGGGGTCCAGGGTCACTCAAACCTTAAGACTCGTCAGCTAAATCACGAAGACCATCCGGAAAATGCAGGGAAGACAGTTTTTCATGGGGAGGTTCTTGAGCAAAATCCCAAGAGCGGAATGGGCTTGTTTGGCTCAGGTCTGCCGAGAAGGCGCAAGCATTTCAGGGTCTTGAAGTGCGGTTCCTGCTTTTCCACTGTTCACCACAGGCACCTGCAAAACCATCAACACCATCGGGAGCCACAGGCACCTTACATGTGAATGTGCCAACCGCTCGTGTTATTTTTGTTCCTCTGACGTGATGCTTGTTGGTAAACGGAATGCAATTGGCAATGACCAGTGGTGACAAAGAGTTCAAGAGAGAGCCAAGCAATGAGATGCAGTAGAAGAGTTCTATCACATAGGTTGGAGGCCAGCGCTATTAGGAGCAAGGACGCTACTAGGGGCTCCTGGCCTTACTACTAGGAGCAAGAAGCTACTAGGAACAAAGGGCATCGCTACTAGTTTCAAGTTTGCCAAGTCAGGCTCAGAGAGCTGGCGATTTGGTGCGAAACCGGAGACAACGCTACGCCCCTAGCATACTGTCCTGTGCAAATTTCCTGCTGTTGTGTACTGATCGGTATGCGAAAACATGTTAGGCCGGCATCAAAACCAGGCCTGGCCATGAAACTACAAAATTCCTTGGCGAGTTGGTTGGACTTGAGCCTTGACAGGTCCTCCTCGCTTCTTCAACTCCAAGCTGCAGCAGCAAAAGGAACAAAAAGAAAAGATGGAGAAGGAAATGGCTGCCGAAAAAAGCAAAGACTCAGGCAAGAGAAGCCAATGAAGCAAATGCAAAGTTGCGCTTTTTGTTGAATCCGACATCTCGCAAACAATATTAGGAACAAGAAGCTACTAGGTTGGAGGCCATCGCTATTATTAGATTGGAGGCCATCGCTGCTAGTAGCAAGGACGCTACTAGTAGCTAAGTCCTCCTCTAAGCACAGACTCCCTTTAGAAGATTGGTGAACTGCCTGCTACGGCAACGCGAGGCTCTTGGCGTGACCGTGATTCGAATTGGCGAAGCCGTGACGAGCAGAAGGCAGCCGCCGTTGGACACGAGCTATACGGCTTGAAAACGTCTTTCAATAGGTTCGTTTCTGCGAAGTCAACATGATTTCAGCGGACCTATTCCAGCTTGCAGCATGGTTGAAGGACCCACCAAAAGAGATGGCAAAGGCCAGCCTGCTATTCAATTCAGCTTGTCAGATTGTGCCAGACGTGTCCCAAAATTTGTGCCAAGCTTTCTTTGTGCTGCTGTGCTGCACAAGACATGCTCTGAGGGTGACACTGCACAAACGCTCCAGACTCAGCGTCATGTTTGCTGAATTGATGGGTGTGGGAGCAAAAGCTTATCTGGGTCTACCTTTGTCCAAAGGCACAGACTAGAATGCAATGCGCGAACAAGGCCAGCTACATCCAGCAATGCCCAGATGCAAACTGCACAGCAAATGCCGCGCCCAAGACAGTCAGTTTTTTTGAGCCAGTTGGGCAGAGCAGTCCTGTGTCCTTGTTTGAATTTGAGGCAGAGTGGCATGGCAGGCTGCGGCGGTGCTTTGCTCTTGTTTCGGTCGATGTGTATAACTGTATAACCTAGTAGGAACGGCCTACTAGTGATGGCCTCCAAGGAACCGTTTCATAAAGCGAGGGTTCTGAAAGGACATTCTAGCCCAAACCAGGCAGGAGAATCTTCCTTGAAGAACCCTCGCTCCATTCGCTCTACTGTGTCCTTGCATGCAGTATCTTCCTTTCTATTGTTTACCTTTCTACTTTTTACCCTACCTACTCCCACCTCGTGTCTTCAGCGCTCAACCCCCCCAAAAACCAGAGAAGAATTTCTCTTTGGCATCAGATCCAATCTTTGCACCAATCTCTGCTTGAAGGTCCAGCTCAGCAGTTTGGAGGATGCTATGGAGGACCATCGAACAGAAATCCCAAATCGCAGGCAAATGTCCAGATTGATTTTGGGACGTTCATCCATTCAGACATACAGTCCGAGCATTCTTGCATGTAGAGAAACTTTTTGTAGATTCAACGAGAAGGTTCAGCGATAGTCTTGGCAATGAGCAACAACATGTCAAATAAGCGGAGAGATTGGCATGCCATTCTCGGTCTCTTTGCCTAAAGGAAGGAAGAAAGGAAAGAAGGAACAGCGATGAAACGCGAACCTCCCGTCAGAAACTATCGGCAACGATGCGTACCCAGAAAATTTGTGCACCGTTGCCACTTCTGAAGATGCAGCAAACCATGAGATCTATGGGCGTGTGGTTCCCGACCCAACCACGAGGGGGACAAATTCCTGCAAAAGAAGAGGTAAAGAGTAAAAGGCACCGTTCAACAATCTTGCGGGCCTTCTTTTACCTTGTGCCAAAATGTGTATTTTCACTCACCTCATGTCTGGACCAGTTGCGGTGAGTTGGGCAACTGTCACTTTGTCAAACATCTGGGAGTCTCCCCTTTACCCTCTTTATCCATCGCTCGACATCCCATCTACTTCCTTCTGTTCTCTATACTCTTCCACCTCTTCCCTTGTCCGATCTTTTCCATTTTGGAAAGCAATTTTCTTCCCTCTTCTCCATGCTTTGCCACCTGTTTCTTCTCTTCTCGAGCCATTTTGGACTCGTGTCGCATCTCCAGGAATGCAACCTTTCCAGGCAAATCCACAGGCACAGCAAGACACCTTTCGCTTGACACAAAGTGAGTACCTAGCATTACTTGGAGGCTTGTGAGACTTGCATGAAGAGTATGTGATATGAATCACCTGAAATGCCTTTGCAGGCGATGACCATGAATTCCGGCAATTGGATGGGACAAATGAATCCACAGTCGCCCTGGCTGGTCTCATGCCATTTCAGCAACATTTTAAGCCTTCCGCCAGGATGATGATGCAGCAGCAAATGATGATGGCACAATCAGCTCCAGGGCACGGAGGACATTGTAATTGTCGAAAAAAGAAAAGAACAAACATCGAACTTAGTAGCTTTGTTGTTCCTAGTAGTAAGGCCAGGAGCCCCTGGTAGCGTCCTTGCTCCTAGTAGTAAGGCCAGAAGCCCCTAGTGGCTTCTTGTTTCTGAATATTCACTTCTTCTGGCTTTTCTTGCCACTTGAACTACAGAGTATTGGCAGGATGTGGTATGTGCGGAGGGTGCTGTGGAGGCTGTCCAGGTTGCCAGGGTGGCTGTCAGGGCTGTCAAGGTGGCTGCGCAGGCTGCCAAGGCGGCTGCCAAGGCGGTTGCCAAGGCGGTTGCCAAGGCGGTTGCCAAGGCGGCTGCCAAGGCGGTTGCCAAGGCGGATGCCAAGCTGGCTGCGGCGGATGCTATGGTCAAGGCTGCTACGCCCAAGGAGGTTGTTGTGGCTATGCCCAGGGTGGTCATGGCTATGGTTGCTGCGCTGGTGGAGGCTGCACTGGAGGCTGCACTGGTTGCTGCCCTCAAAGCTGTGGAGGCTGTTGTGGGGGTTGTGGCTGTGGCTGCCGTCCAGCCTTCTGCGGTGGCTGTGCACCACAGGGCCAACAGGGTTGCAGTGGCACACAGGGCTGCGGTGGTTGTGGAAAAGGAGACGGAGGGATGGAGAGAGGCAGGTCATAATTTTTTTCATTTTAGATTAGATTCTTTTCCATTTCATTCAGACAGACCACACGGAAGGTTCCAATTGGAACGAGGAGAGATGGAAGGCGCTTATGTCAGAGAGGGAAAGCCACATAAAAGCTTTACAGTCCATGAGACGATGAGACTGAAGAGTCTCTGCAGGACGATAGAGGAGATGGCCAGGGCCAAAGTGTGGATCAAACTTGGAGATTTGAGAAGTCCCTGTGCTCTTCGGAAACCTTCAAACAAACAAAGTGACAAACTGACAAACATCTAGGAACCAAATCATTAGTGCGAGCACTTCTCCAAGGAAGCTCCTCCCCGCCCTGACAGCTAGTAGCGAACTACTCTCTTACTTAATTAAGTAAGGGCGCGCTAAAAAAGAAAGAAGAACAGAAAAGAGCGAACTTCTTTTGTGTTTTTCGTTTTTGGTTCTGGTAGTCGACTCCTCTGAGAGTCTAAGATTTGCGAGGCTCGAACTGGAAAGGACAGGACGACGCAGGGGGCACAGGACAACAGCACATAACAGTCCTCTATACAGCTTGCCTTTTTTTGCCCTTCTTTACCTTCCTAGTGTACCCTTAGCCTTAGTCTCTTAGTCTCTTTCCGTTTGTGCTCCGATGCGTGTAAGGCCGGCAAGAAGGGTCGGGGCCTCTGGAGCTTCTCAATCCAAGCACTTCAAAGTAGGCTTCCAAGGAAGCCTCTCCAGCGCTCACAGCGGCAGGAGCTTCTTTGAAGGATTGTGGCTGTAAGAAGTGTTTCCTTTTAACACCTTATTTTGAGGAAAAGCGGTGCTAGAGCTTTTTTGAAGATTGTCTAGATAGGTTCATTGATACTTTTGTAGTTTTTATAGATTCAATTAGAAAGATGCTTTCAAACAGATACTTTTAAAGGCAAGTGTCGTTTCAGAGTGTTTGTTTCCTTGAAGAACCCGAGGGCATCCAGAACAAGCTCTCTTTTCTTTACATTTTAGTTATATACTTTTTACTTTAGCTACTTAGCTGCTTTAGCTAAGCTTACTTATACTTTAATATGCTTTATAGCTTTCTAGAGGAATTCAAGGGAAAAGAAAGATACGACAAAACCAAAAAAAAAAGCAGCGCACAATTTGCCACTGGAAATAGTTGAAGGTCGAGGCAAGGGCAGCATCAGTGGACAAGGCGGCCAAGGCTTCAGCTGTGCCTTTGCAGTCTCCTTGTGTCTTTGTCGCCTTCGTTGTGCAGCCTTTGTTGCATTGCTGTCTATGTAGTGGAACACATGCACACAGTGCCAGATTTTTTGATCTAATAGCATAGAAAATAGAAAGCAGCAAGGGCTCCAAGCTAGTCCTTGGTGCTTTTGTTCTTGTAAGCCTCACTAGGCTCCAAAAAATCGTGCATTTCACAAGCTTCAATCTTCAAACACTAGCTTGTTTGGCTTTCTACTTTCTTCCCTTGTATCTTCTGGCCTGTGAACGAATGGGCTTTTTTTCCATCTTGAGCTCATCAAAAATCCAGGCAAGAGCAGCAGTCTGGCCCTCTGGGGAGTCTAGTGAATTACTCTAGCAATACTTAAAGCAAAGATGTACCGATCACCTAAGGGTTATGTCTTGAACTGCCTCTTGTTCCAGACTGGAGGCAAAGATCGAGGCAAGGGTGGCCGCTTTGGTCGTGATCGACCTTCGGGTGATGACGTCATGATCTCAATTTGAGATTGCCATGTGAAAGGACAAAAAGAAGACGATATGTGAGGATTTAAAGAAAGGTCTGAAGGGGCAACAACGGGAAGAAAAGAGAGACGAATGCATGTTGGAGGCCATCGCTATTAGGTTGGAGGCCATTAGTTTTTTAGGTTGTAGGCTATCGTTATTGGGTTGGAGGCCATCGTTATTAGGTAGGCCATCGCTATTAGGACGGAGGCCATTGCTATTAGGTTCTCTTGCCATGGAAAAGAGAGAAGTTTGTCAGATCAGAGATTCTTGAGGAATGGGCAGCTCTAGGCCGTATGAGAAATGCCGCTGCTAGCTGAGCGAGCTGAGAGCGAGGCGCTTTGAGAGGCCTTGTTGTCAGTGCTTTCATTCGCTTGGGCACTTTGTCACACTAGCTGCTTGGCACGAAAACATGTTGTGCTCTTGTGCTCTTCATCCAAGATGAAAGGTCAGGCATACCAGTCAGAACCAGTTCACACTAGTGACAATGTCAGATTGATCAGATTGATGTCTTGTTGTTCACTTTAAAGATACATTGACTGGCCCTTCGAGATAGAACTTCTCAAGCATGTGCCGTGTCATTGAACCTAAAGGAGATCAACCAGCGTCTCAATTTGGATTGTCTCACCGGCGCTGGGACACTTGTTTCATTGGTAAACTATCTTACAAGGCATCACAAGTCTTGACTGAACACCTAGGAATCAAAGCTCCATCCTTTGCATGTTGCTGTATGTGTCGATCTTGGATATTAAGTTTCCCTAAACATCTAGGAACCAAATCATTTGAAGCGTCTTCGCTCTCCTGCGTCCTGTTCCTAGCGAACTTGTAGCTACTAGCTACCTCTTCTACTAGCTAGCTACCTCGGCCTACCCCCCCCCATGACTTACTTGACCTCAGGCACAGAGAGTGCTAGCTTGTACCTATTTCCCTCACCAGGTGCTTGAAGCCCGTTTCAAACGGAAGATTCTCCTGTCATTTCCCAACTCAGTGCTGAGCCTGGCGCCATTGCGTCGCGCAATTTGTTCATAGTGATGGAGCCCTTTGCCCTCAGCAAAGCAGAGCCAGGTGAGCAACGCAGATAGTCTTGTTTCCATGTCGCTCTTACGGTCTTTCTTGTTTTACTTAATTTTACTCTTTCTTATTGCTTGTAAAAACACAAAACTGCTTTGCTCAAAACGAGCTCAGAAAGCTCATGTGTGGACTCTCGCTGACCGCTTGAGAACGCCGACGTACGATGCGGTTGGCACCATGGATCGACACGGTTTCAAGTGTTTCAATCATGAGAGAACCTAATAGCACTCCAACCTAATAGCAAGAGAACCTAATAGCGATGGCCTCCAACCTAATAGCACTCTCTTTGGACCTATGTATAAAGATTGTTAGCAGTTTTCTTGGTCTTTTGCGAAGAAGGATCCAATCAGAACTGAATAACTATCAATTTCAACGGGTTGGTCCATGGCGGTTCCGTTTGTTTTGGATGAACTTTGCTGTGAAATGCGCACAGACCCAGCAATATGGCGAGGCTTGAAAAAAGTATATCTTAATGTTTTGGCATCTTCCGGCATCGTTCTTCTTGCCAGCCAGGAATTTGCAATTTATATTTCATGAATAAATTTGAAGTCCTTCCCTCCAACTTATTTGCTCGTGCTTCCGCATGCTTCTTCCGTTTCCGCACCACTTGGCTCAAGCTGGCCCAACATCTAAGAATCTGGAGGTCCGCACGTGCTGTCAATTCGCCTGTTTGACGGAGAAGTAGGGCCTGTGCATTCTTGTCAAAGCCTGGGTTTTGTCGAAAAAGAACGTCTATGAATCTTGCTTAGCGGCATCGCTACTAGGAGCAAGGGCGCTACTAGGGGCTCCTGGCATCGCTACTAGGAGCAAGAAGCTACTAGGGCTCCTGGCCTTACTAGTAGGAGCGTTCGGACGCTACTAGTTGCTTAGCTTAAATCTGTCGCCAGGAGGGCCACACGGGAGGCTTACCAAAGGCCGCCAAGATGGGGCAGGGCTTACCAAAGGCCGTCACCTCGGTGGCGGTCAAGCTCCTTGGCGCTGAACTCTTGCTTTGGAAACAAGCATCCTCCAACACTTGTCTTTTCATGCAAAAAACTGAAAGCTCTTTCCAAAAAAATGACTCTTCTTCAGAGTTGCTTTTTCATTGCTTTTTGAGCTGAGGCGAGTTGGTGGCACAGCCTTTCGCGTTGGTTTTGCAGAGATGAACGGATGGCGACCGAGCATGGAGGATGCCCATGCAAAGAAAGAAAACACTGAGGAAAAGAGGAAATCATATACCTACTACATAAATCTGTATGACATATAAAGGTTCTTTGGCTTAGGTTGGAGGCCATCGCAGTAGGTTGGAGGCCATCCCTATTAGGATGGAGGGTATCGTTGTTAGGTTCCTTTTGCTATTATTACTATATATACACACATTTCTAATGTATAGTGAAACATGCAAATCAAATTTTCTCATTTAGTGACTTTTTGGAGGATGCCCACGTCATCTACGCCCAAGACACTTGGGGTTTCTTTGGAGTTTTCGATGGTCACGGAGGCGAGTTCAATATGATACCGTGCTTTCTTGCATGTGGTCTCACATTCATGACTGTCTTGCAAAATGTACAGATATCAGATATCCAAAATGCTTGGAACGCATCTGAACGCCGAGAATGACATGAAAAACACGAAAACAACTTGTTGGCTTGTACTTGTTATTGTGCTTGCTGTGTTTCTGTGTCTTTTCAAATTCACTCAGTTGTCACTGTCAGTTGTCTCAATTGAGGTGATCAATGTTCGGGCTTCATCGCCAGACGAATCCACGAAGAGTTGGCTCAGAGTGGAATGCCGGATGACGATGAGGCCGTAATAGCTTTGGCGCTTCGCCTGGACAAGGAGTTCCTGGACTCAAACCAACCCAGCGGCTCTACCGGCACCTTTGTGATTGTCAAAGCTCCAACCACACCAGGAGGCAACTTGGCTTTATCATGTTTCATTTAGGTTGGAGGCCATCATTAGCAGGTTGGAGGCCATTGCTAGTAGGTTGGAGGCCATTTGTATTGGGTTGTAGGCGATTGCTTCTAGGTTGGAGGCCATCGTTAGTAGGTTGGAGGCCATCGCTATTAGGTTGGAGGCCATTGCTAGTAGGTTAGTGTAGTTGCCAACGCCCGAGGCAACTACCACCTCCGTGTGGGCAATATCGGTGACAGCCGTGTTCTGCTTGGCAGGGCAGATGGCTCAATCTATCCAGGCCCAGGTACTGACAGTGGCCTGACGACGGACTGCAAGAGTGAGAGATTTCTGTGAGAGTTTCTGAAGCTTCACTTGTGTTTGATTTTGGAAGTCAACTGTTGCTGTTTGGCTTTCTTTCGCAGGACCACAAGCCAGACCTTCCAAGCGAGCGTCAGAGGATCGAGCGGACGGGCGGAAACGTGCAAGAGGTCTAGGGCCCAAGCGGATCAAGCGGCTTCGCTATGTGTCAAGGACATTTCAGTATGGAAGTACGACTGACGTGTGAGATTTTGCTTGGGTTCCTGGCTCAGGTTATGGGCGTGGCCAGAGTGAATGGTGACCTAGCAGTCAGCCGTGCTTTTGGCGATGCTCAGCACAAAACAACAGGAGGCAAGATACACTTTACATGCCTGCAGCATTTTGCAGCTTTTTGGGAGATGCTTTTGCATCTCTCCCGGAATCTATCGCACAGGTCCAAAGCCCGAGGATCATCCAGTTTGCGCTGCACCTGAACTTATGGAGAGCTTGCTTTGATGCATTCAGAAGGCACAGTTCATTCGTCAATTCAATGCAGGAGTTCGAATGTGGACCCACTGATTTCCTCATGCTGGTGTGTGATGGAATCTCAGAAGGCGCGATTGGACAGAAGATTTCAAACTCCTAGGATTTTGCTCGAAGCGCGTCAGGGAAGATGGCGGTCAAACCTCATACAGATCATGGTTTTGCAAACAGATCCCCCATTAGCTGAGTTGTTTTGGCTCGTGAAAAAAGATAACCACACACAAACAGGCACACTGCGACACACTACAGAAAGGGGAGTGTTGCGGAACGGTATCAAGAAGTGAAGCAAGCTTCTCTCATTCACGCAAGCCGTGTCAAAATCAAAACCAACGAAACAAGCAGAACAACAGGGAGATAGAACAGTCGGAGTCAATGTAACACTGCTGCAGATAGCAGACTCTTCCACTTGTTCTCTTTCTTCGTTAAATCGCATTGAGAAATGAGCTGCTACCTCCTGCAACTATAGTGAGTTCTTTCAAGCTTCAGACTGCGCGCGCGCGCTCTCTCTCTATCTAGGGGCTATAAGTGCCCAAGGTCGAGGGATGTTTATTGCTTGTCGATATCTCTTTGGCTCTCCAATTAAATTTCACCTGGCACGTTGTGTCTTCAGGCAGCTTCCCCAACGAGGCAGTTGTACGTTTGGCAGCTGAAAAGCTGAAAGCTGAGGGCCCTGTGGATCCGGCTCAGGACAGGGAGAAAATTCGGTTACTGGATCATTTTTGGGACACTTACTGAAGACATCCATGATCTCGTATTTACTCTCTTTCCCATTTCGTCGAAAGCTGTGCTTCTTGTGACTTCAGCTCTTGTCCATGCAGGCTGCAATTGCGGTCTGCCACGAGGTTCGGCAGATACTGCAGTGTAGTGCTTCAAACTGTGCACAACTACAGTAACTGCCTTTGTCATGGATCAGCTGAATGCATCATTTACTCTTTACAGTGGCAGTGTGTGCAATCTCCTCACGTCGCATGTGTTTGAGGCGATAAAATGTGGATCAAAGGACAACCTTTCTTGTATGGTTGTTCTCCTCGGGGGTGGTGAAGCTGGTGGCTCAGAAGTCCACAATTTGTGCTCACGGTCTTGCAATCTTGCATCCCTGTTGGGGAAAGCCAAGGGCATCTCAGAGTGTTGGAAAAGGAAAGAACAGATGGAAAGGGACAGGTCAGGTCCAATGTTTAGTTTCCTAAACATTCTAGGAACCAACTCATTAAGCCTGAGCCCTTCTACGTCTGGGTGCCTCGTAGTCCCTAGCCCACCTACTAGCTTCTATCTGCAAGCTCCTTGTTTGCTAGCTCACCTACTGATGGCCTACCCAGCCCTTCAGCCTGAGAAAGCACACATGTTGCACAACTTGACCACCTCGGTGTTCTGAGGTTCCTGGAGAAGGAGTGGAGTTTGTCCCAGGTCCTTTTGAAGCGCCTGAAAATGCCGCTTTCCGAAAGGCACACTGCAACGGTACGGTTAGTACTTGGGTACCTTGCTGTGGTCGTCCGCATGATTTCATTGCATTGCTCCTAGTAGCGTCCTTGCTCCTACTGGTTCCTTGCTGCCAAATGCAAAGACGTGACGAAGCATTGCGCGAGGCCTATGCGGCCATGGCAGAACATGCGGGGATGTCCTTGCCGCAAGCGTTGGAGAAGCAGGGGGCCTATTTCAGATGAGTGCTCATCGACATGCCTACTGCTTGCGCCCAATATGTTCACTTGTCTTGTACGCGCAGGCGCTTCAGAAATTGCCGTTCTGAATTAGCGCAGGCTGATCCCAATTCCGAGGCAAATGCATATTTTTGTGCATATGCAGCTGTGCTTTGTAGCTTCAAGTTGCACTCAAAAGCATAGAACTCCTTGTACTGCGTTTCTGCCAGGGTGCAAAGGAACTGCAGGCAGAAATGGCCCAGTATGGAAGTGGCCCTTCAGAAGACCTGCCAGAAGGCTCGAAAAGTAGAGTTGAGACAATTGATTGTTGGTACTTAAACGTAGTACATGTAGTTATTAGGCTCAAAATCATGCAGCACCGTTCCCTGCGAATGCACCAATCTAAACAGGATACCTCAATATCTATATGTATATATATATACACAAATACACTTATAATGTACTGCAAGATAATATTGTATATTGAAACATAATATAATATAACACTCGCTACTGGTGTTGTGTTGGAAATGGAGCCTCACTTGCATTGGTCGCAAGTTGCAGGCAGCAGCGAGCGCATTGAATGGTTCAATAACTGGCTAGAAAGCAGGACAGCCGCTTTTTGTGCCATTTTCTAACACTTCTCGCTTCGCTATCTTGGCTATTTTAGCTATCTCAGCTGGCTTAGTTGCTTGATGAAACGAAGGAATAGTACTGAGAATGCTGCCGGTTTGGGTGACGGAGCTGAACCAGATGGACATGGCCCAAGTGGACAAGAAGACAGTTGGGTTTTCGATGTCAACTTAATATCAATGGCCTCCAACCTAATTGCGATCCAACCCACCAGAGATGGCCTCCAACCCAATAGCGTTTGGTTTTATAGTTTTGGAGAAGCACAACATTGTCACAACTTGTGTTTGTGCTATTTTTTTGTTCGCTTTGTGTTCTTTGTTATAAAAGGATGTTCGTCGCGCGTTTGCCGCAAGAGCGCCTAGGTGGGAGTGGTGGACTGACGCGAGACCAGCTTTGGGAGATGATCCAGAACAATCCGTGCCTTGGACAACGGACAATCGATAGCGACCTAATAGCGATGGCCCCCCAACCTAAGTTTTGAGGTTGAGAGGCAGGCCACTGAGAAGATGAGAAGAGGAGAGGGAGCTATATTAAGTAGTAGCTTACTAATAGCAAATAAGAGCTAGGAAGGTAGCAAACCGAAAGCTACTAGGTGACAGATTTATTCCTTGTTCTCCAAGTAGCTGGTTATCCCCCTTAAGAAAGGGGTCGGTCTGCTTACTTCTCGATCGCAACTTTTGGCCTGGTACTTTGTAAGCCGAATCTCGAACCGATATGAACCTGAAACCGAAAGAACACCGATATGCCCAAAAGTTGGAATAGCATCCGGATTTTGCATTCTTGAGCGGTTCCATGTTTCCCAACCCGTCACATCATTGCGCTGTTTCTCTAGCCCGACTTATTCTGCTGGGGGTTGTAAGAGACTCAGCGACCACACTCCAAGATGCTATCTTGGGTCTATGCCAGTGTATCTCTTTTTAATAAAAAAGGGGGGTAGACTGTGAAGGGGAGGAGGAAGGTGGTAGCCAAGAGACCAAGTAGTAAAAGGAAATAATCTAATACATGCAAGGACATAGTACAACTCTTCGCATGATCCAAACGGTTCTCAGATTTTCAAGGAAACTGAAAGACCACGCCCTCTTCAGGCGCCTGCGCGATATGGCAGAATCAAATGGCCTAGGCCCGTGTGCTGTCTTGGCTCACATCAGAATCACATATGTCGGGTTTTCTGTCGGCGCACAGCGGAGTTGCAAATTGGTTTCCATTGCTTTGCTTCAACTGTACTTTCTTCCTCCTTCTGGACTTTGAGGCATCAGTTTTGACAAGGTGTGCAGTTGAAGGGTCCAAACAAATCTTTCTACCTCGAATGCACAAGATAGAGTATATATATATATACTATATAGACAGCGTCATTTGCAAGTCCATCCAGGAGTTTCAATGAGGTTAGTTGTGCGTGAATTTCGTGGTCGCACTTCTCCGTGAAACATCTTGACAAGTGACCACATCGAATTTCTGCATATTGATCATTGTGTCCCACATATGACACCTTGAAGCCCGACAAAAGATCGGAACACCTGCTAGGTGCTTGTTGCTATTGTTGACGCACACACAGAGACACAGTGCTCAGACCGTTTTGTGGTATGTGCAGAAGATGGTGAGAAATTGACTTTCACTTGGAACACACACACACACACTAATAAGCACCTATGTCCCAAGTGATGCCACATAGGTCTCAAAATTCACTTTTCTGACAACTTTACCTCATCGAAGAATGCGGACTACCAAAGCCTTCCATCTTTGAAGGGGGGGAGTGCAGATTAACACACACATGTTGCTGGATCGATGACACACGCACACACACACACACTACACTTACCATCATGAGCATTGTGCCAGCAAGCACAGCATTGAACCCAAACCACATTGTGTACTATTTTACACAACTTTCGCCATGTTGCTGCAGATTGTAGGCACCATTTTGTGGAGCAAGAGATGGGAAACAGACCAACAAGCACTTATTCGAAAGATGCAAATTAGATCGTCAAGATACCTGCAACATAGTCATTTGAAGAGTCAAATTGTGCTAATAAGACCATGTAAGACCAAAAAGAGTGAGAATGCTAAGTGGCAACATAGGCAACGAGCCCCACTGTATGCTCGTCGCTACACTCCATTTGAGAAGATCAAACAATCCAGCCCTCGTGACTGAGACTGCGCGTGCGAGTCTGTGGAGGAAGGTCTTCTAGAGAAGCCAAAAATAGAATTACAAGTGCCAGGAACCCCTAGTAGTGTCCTTGCTCCTAGTAGCGATGCCCTAGTAGTAAGGCCAGGAGCCCCCAGTAGCTTCCAAAATACCATCCGAATCTGCTTTCATCTTCCAACAAAATGATCTGTCGAGAACCAGTGCTGAAATTGTGTGGGCGAGAGGCTTTGAGCGACTGCTCATTCATGACCGCGAAGAGTCTCGCACTCAGGAAGAATCGCTACAGTGCTGCAGCTTTGTGGCCTTTTGTACACTGTACACTTTTGATTCCTTTGGTGTTTTCATTTTGTACATTCTTTCATCTTGTTGGCCTTGAGGGAGAAAAGAAAACACTGCATCCAAGGCCAATGAGGGCGGTGCGGGTGGCAAAGCTTGAGGAGCTGAAACCTGCTGTTGAAGCGCATTCCGTGGCTCGGTCCCAGAAATCTCTCGTCTTTATCTCCAAAGGCGACGACACGTGCTTTGGTGATTCCTGGCTTTGAGCCACTCTATTAGAAACAAGAAGCTACTAGGGGCTCCTGGCCTTACTACTAGGAGCGATCGGACGCTACGAACGGGGCTCCTGGCATCGCTACGAACGGAGTAAGAAGCTATTAGTTAATTTTACTTAATTCTAATAGCAAACATTGTTACTACTAGTACGGCACCTGTTACTACTAGCGATGCACTTGTTACTGCTAGTAACAAGATCGTTTACGCTTTGTGGCTTTGTGCGGTCCGTTTCCAAGGCGCTGAAGTGGGACGACCGCTTGGCTGATGCTTGTGGTTGTGAAGGGATTGTTCTCAGAGACGATGAGTCCGATGGAACAGCACAGGTGCACAAAGAACAGAGAAATGAAAAGAATGAAAACAGAAAGGTAAAGGGTTTATAAAGCATCCCTTTTCTTCTGTTCTTTTATACCCTTTACATACCTTTATCTTCATTTTGTTCAACTTTTTTCTTTTTAAGTCTTTGTTTGCTTATAGAGATATTTCTGTTTGAGAGACTTGGACCCATTGGAGAAGAGACTCAGAGAGACCAACGGTCCTGTGTTTGTATCTTTGCCGTTGAGAGTTTCCTAGTAGCGATGGCCTCCAACCTTTTTGTTTTTTTCATTTTCTGCAAACTTTGCAAATGAGTCCCCTTGTCTTCATTTTTTTTGAGGTCTAGATTCTCCAGAGTGCCAAGCAGCCTTTCTCGTTTCCTTGAATTCCATTTTTGAATACTTCAACAGAAAATTAACATAAATTCAGGACGCTATTAGGGGCTCCTGGCCTTACTACTAGAAGCAAGGACGCTACGTTCGGGGCTCCTGGCATCGCTACAAACAAAGCAAGAAGCTACTAGTTGCTTTTCAGGCTCCTTTCTAGGAACTGACAGACCCGAAGGGGAATGGTTTAGCATTTCGACGTTATGCTACTCACTACTTGTGCCAGGTGAGATTTCCACCGCCATTGGGATTCAAAGCGTGGCTTCCGACAAGTGTCTGAGAAGCAAATAGGAGTAGATCAGTCACGATGGTGCGTAATGATAGTCTGCCAACAAGCCACTGCAAGTTTGTGCAACAAGTTGCGAGGTCTTTGAAATTGAACCCACTGCCAAGGTATGCTGCAGGAAGTAACACAGCCCTGCAAGAAAGTAAAGGCATGCGACATAGATCAGCTGAAAGAGGCTGTTCAGGCGACTCACAGAGAGAGCAATGCATTGCTTAGGTCAAATAGGTCAAATGTCAGCAAGTGAAGGACACAAAACGTATAGAGGTGAAACGCGAGAAAGATGATGATGGCATCAAGACCTCCAAATGGTTGGGTTAAGTTGAATTCGAGGCGCACTCGGCTTTGAAGTGGGATGACAGACTGGCCAAGCTAAGTGGTGAAGAAGGAATGGTGGTCCAACAGGACAAGGAGACCGTGCAGTCTGCGCCATGTGATCGCGCAAAAGACTGTACATTTGATGCCTGGACTGAGATTGAGGTGAGACAGGCGATCGCATTGACGACAACCGATGGGATGCAAAGTGATAAACAGCTTGAAACTTTCGCCGCTTCCCTATGCACATCAAAACATCGAAACACCTGACAACAGAAGCATTTGTCCGCTGCTGTCAATGAACGACACTGATCACTTTCAGATCTCTGGCATGATGCTATGGTAGTCCACTCTTGCGTGACACTGTTGTAGGACACTTTCTTGTAGAGGACTCACCACGTGACCACTTTACCAGCAGCGAAAACACACCACTGCATTGAAGCAACCCACCGCGCACCCCAAGCAGCACGATTCCATTGCTATTCGCAACAATACGTTCCACTCAATTCTTGCGCCTGCCATGTAATTTGCAACCCAAACACCTCCAGCACGCATAAAGTACTGCGCCTGGCACGAAAAGTTACAATTCAACACCTTTGGGGTCTTAATTATAGCAAACTTTCGGAATGGTTTTGACATGTCCCGGCATAAGGCGTATCAACAAACATGGAAGTTTTAGTTGAGGTTTGCGAGCAAAATACAGAATCGACGCAAACCTAGTCACCCCACTCCCACATCCACCTCCTCCGATTCCATTTCCCAACAATGCACGGAACTTGAGACCAATCATGTCCGCTTGCTGATGGTCGAATGCAACTCAACTACCGGATTGCAGTGTGCATACACATATATATATATATATATTCGAGATCAGAGGCATGCAAAGCCGTGCTCTAAGATGTCTTGTGCAATCTGGAAATGTTGCCAATTGCAAAAACGCTATTAGGTTGGAGGCCATCGCTACTAGGGTGGAGGCCATCGCTAGTAGGTTATTGCTATTAGGTTAGGTTCCTTTTGCTCTGGTATCAAACAATGTGTGCAGTGGGTACCCAAGTAGGAACAAATCGCCACTAGTAACAAAGGGCATCGCGACTAGGAACAAGAAGTCTGTAGTTTGGGATCGACTCTGCTTGACGCCAGGAGGATGCCACTTTGCAGGTTCGGTTTCCTTCCGTGTCGCTGACAGCCTGGTTGCCGGAGTCCACACTAACCTACATCGAGTCGTCCGAGGCCAGGGCCAGGGCTAAATGAACTCGAAGCTTTTTCAATTCAGACCGAAAAGGAAGCTGAAGGCAAATTGAAGTTGAACGTGCCTGAAATAAGCTACGGAAATGTCAGGCAGCTGTGGCAGAGGAAGCAAATGAACAAGGTGAGAGTAGTTAGATCAAGCTGACAGAGGTCCACAGGGGCAAGCCGCACACATGGCAGTTTTCGACTTTTTGCAGAGTCAAACACGAGTTTCAGCCCAGGGGGTCCTCTAGTGATCTCAATTCCTGTCTCACTGCCTCATGACACTCCAGCTCCATTGTGAATCTGGCAGTCGGCAAGCAATTCAATGTCTTCTTGAACTTGCTTTTGGCCGACATTCGGCACTACCACTTGCAAACAAAAACACAACAGAGGATTTTACTACTTGTTGCAAACACACTAAAAGTGCAAGTATGATTTCACTACTTGTTGCACCAGCTTGATTGCTCTGAAGTTGGAATTCACATGATGCATTTTGGAAGCAGATCAAGCGGCCTTGGAGCACAATGCACTGATTATTGCACGCCATGAAAAGTCATTTGCGCAGCGGTCAATGACTACTTGCAGAATGTGAACCGATGTTTCAGGGTGCTGTTGGCATTTGGCATGCTCACACAAGACGAACCACAACCGTTGTCGTGCTCAAAGTTTTTGCTCAGGCTTGGAGAGCGTACAGGTCATGGCAACAAATATCCAATAAGCAAATCGACCATGAAAGGATTCCTTCGCTCTTCTGTGTTTCATCATATCAACTTGTTAGCTACCCTTTTAGATCTCCCTTCTTTCAAAGCTGCTTCCTCTTCTTCCTCCTTCTTAGCGGCAACCCCGCCTTTAAAGCAAACGGAGAAATACTAAACACATCAATTTCTTGCTGTTTCTTTCTGCACTTACAAACTGCAGAACACTTGGTTTCTTTACCAATCCCTACCATTCTCACCGACACAGTTTTGTAGACTCTTTCTTTTGGATTTTGCCTTTTCACATTTCTTTCTTCCTTCCTTTTCTTCTTCCCTTCCTTGGTTCAACTTTCTCATTTAGTGCTGCTGGACATAGGTATAAGAAAAGCTTCTCGAAGAATGGACTGATAAATCGCATATGGGCATTGCCTCACAGCCACAGGGCTCAACAGCTGCTATTTGGGGTCAGCTTCCTTCAGCGCAAAGTAGCATAAGACCGAGAACACACAAGTTAAGCGAAGCTAGATAATAAAAATATTCTTTTGAGGTACTAATAGCAATGGCCTCCAACCTACTTGCGATGGCCTCCAACCTAATGACTTCCAAAGGCTGCAGTGCCATAAAAGTAAAACCAGAAGGACAACAAGGCACAGTGCCAAGAAGTTTCAAAAAATTTATCGATATACTACGTACGTCTCTTGGTGAGCAGTCCTTTAATGTGGTCTTTGTTTCTGGAAATTAGGGCATCTAGGTGACTCAATCTTACGACATGCCAAGCTCTTGCCATCTTAACTTTTTTCAAGCATGGATCCAAGTCTTGGTGTGCAGCTCGCCAATTTGAATTCACCATCACGAGCAGAGGTGCAGGATGCGCGAGACAGGACCGACATGGACAAAGAGGAGACTTCAGGAATGATAGAAAGAAGCCAGAGGGGTTCAAGAAGATTCCTGAACATGCTCCTTTACATTAGATTGAGAGAAGTGGGCACAGTGACTGCATAGGCATTAGAACATACACGTTCAAAAAACGCCACTTGCATTGGTGGACGCCATCGCTACTAGGTTGGAGGCCATTGCTAGTAGGTTGGACGTTGGCCAGGTGCTGCAAATTTTGCGACCTGCGCTCAGCACTTGGGCATCGAATCCCAAGTATGCCACTGCTCCTCAGCCGCAAAGGAGCTGCATCGGCAGTAGCAACATGGAGCAACGAAACAAGAATAAATAATGACAACAAGTTCCAAGTCTAAACATCTGAAGGAAGAAAGACAAGTACAAAGGCAACAGAATGAATGTAAAAAAAGAAACTGGACGGTACTTACTACCCTGGGCTATGAGTTCGGCCAGCTGTTTTACTTGTGGACGTTGCTGCCCCCCTGCGACTAGGGCGACTACAGACTAGAGTCAACACTTTCTTGTTTTGGTCTTCTTTGGACCTTTCTTACCGGTGCATCGCTTCTAGTAGTAACAAGCGCACCCTGAACAAAGGGAGTCAACATAGTCAACAAGAGCTGGGCTAGGGGCTCCACCCCACAGTACTCTGTGCACAACCTTTGGATAGAACGCTACTCGGAACAAGTGCATCGCTACTAGTAACAAGTGCCTTACTAGTAGTAACAAGAAGCTATTAACTTAATTTTAAGTTAAAGTAATTCTCCGGTGGAAAATCATGTACCACCACCTGGGGTTTGAGCGTTTTGTGAATGGCTGGTGGCATCTCTTGCCAATGCTTATGTCCAGGCAACTCTTCGCCACTTGGCTTTTGCTTCCATGCCTGAGGCAGGATGAAGTGAGGACGAGTGACTCGAGCAATCATTATCAGAATGTCGATAGTTTGACTTCAAGCACTTTCTATAGTTGAGTGGTTGTCGTTGTCTTTTGACCTTTTACAGCCTTTACTCTAAGCTAATCCATGGGGCAAAAGAACAGGGGTTTGCCAGGTAGCCATTCAGGTGCTGCAGTGCATGAACAGCAACGGGGTGGAGGTGTGCTTCAAAGTCCCTTGCATTTTGAGAAGTAAACAAATGGCCAGCATCCCTTTTCGGAAGACTCTTTTCCATCCTCTTTTCAAGCTTCACCAGGTCAACAGCTTTCATGTGGGGTCAGTTCTCAAGGCTGTGGAGAAGGCACGTCAACGAAACGAGTTCACTGAAGAAGCTGCCATTGTCCCGTTTTTTGAAGAAGATTCCGACAGTTCTTGTATCCCTAGTAGCAATGGCTTCCAACCTAATAGCGACGGCCTCCACCCTAGGCCCTAGTAGCGATGGCCTCCAACCTAACACTTTTAAAATACTTGTTTGAGAAAGTCAGTTGACATCAAGTGACCTGTGCATAGTCTGTTTGAGCAGTTTTCTGAACATTCTCCGAAGAAAGCTTCACAGAAGTTGCAAATTTTTGCAAAAGCACTTTCGAGCTTAGCACATCTAGGCTTTTAGATTTACTGTCCATTGTTAATTAAATGCCTTAGGTCTTGAATGACTGCCAGGTCACTCCTATCAACCCTTTCGCAACGCAGAGAATACTCTGAAAGTAACTCTGTAAGTTCAGAACCCCATTGCACAGAAAGCCGAAAGCCGGCTGTCAACCCATACTCGCCACACGAAGCGGATTAGCAGCAAGAAGTTACGAATAGCGATGCACTTGCTACTAGTAGTGATGCACCTTGTTGCTAGAAGCATGTTCCAAAAACCTTCTGAAAGGTACAGCAGTGGAGCTGGGCGTTGAATTTAATCCGGGTCTTGGGCCAAGTTGGTTGACTGCATGGCTTGCCAGAAAAGCGCAGCATGACACTGCATCAGTCAAGGGGCCGCAGCTTGACAACATTGTCCGGAATGCTGCCATCAGTATTTGCTCGAAAGGAGGACAGATCGCTAAGCAAGGGCCTACGGCATGTGTGTTTTTTGCAGCAGCGTGTCAATGTTGAAACGTGATTTGCTGAATCATGGGATGATTTCCTTCGGACATCTCTGGTTTGTACTTGGCAGTAGAAGTCTCTACTTGTTCGTACTTTCCCCTAGACTCTAGATGTCCTCTACTCTTTGCTCTTTCTCAACTCTTGACTTATGTTTTCTCGTCGACTTGACAATCTCTATACTTGCTGCCAGAAAACTGTACTTCTCTACCTTTCAAAAAGTGCTTTCGTGTAGAAATCCATTTGTCTCTATCCTTATCTCGAAGAAAGCATCATTTATCTATATATATTTTGTGCTTTACGGTATCTAGAAATCCATGAACCTGGGTTCTTTGAATGGCTTTTTCTCTAGGCCGCTCTACATTTCAGCGAATTGTCCATGGACATGTCGACTTTCCACAGGAAGTCTGATCGGTCGAATTCAGACAGTGTTGTTACATGTTGTTACTTATTCTTTTTGCTGAACACCTCCAACTACTCATTTTCAGAGCTCGTTGCTTTTCTAGATTTGCCCGTGGGGTATTCTTTTAGACGTCTCTCAAAATCTTCCTCACAGCCCTGAGATTCAGCGACCCTGTGTTGCATCCAAACCGGCGCCAACCTAGCCAAACGGCGTGTGTTTTGAAAACCCGACGCCACCGGATCTTTCTTCCTTTCCGTTCTTCAGACCTATGGGCCCCCCTGCTCTTGGGGCGGTTGACCTGATATCCTGCCTGGGATTACTTGGGCCTCTTATGGGCCTTTAGTATCCTTTTGTATCACAGTGACTCGTCATGGTGAGCTTTGAGGCTGTTTCCACATCCAGAGTTCGCATGACACCCTGTAGATCACCTATCACAGCACTCCACGCAGTATAGCGCTATATACTCCAAAACCCTGCCACACACTACACTCAGCACCCCTACACTCAGCATTGCAATAGCTGAGCCTTTCATGCTCCAAACTTTTTGTGACTACTTGATGCACTAGCTGAGTGATAATGCGGTTGTTTGGTGACATAGCTCGATGAGGCAGTCGAGATAGCTGAGTGGTGAGGCTTCCAACTGTCAGTTCTTGAGAATGTTTCATGCCAATGTATTTCTAAGCACCTGTTTGTATAGTCCTTTTTGGGGTTTTGCCAATTTCTTTTTCTTGTCAATAACTCCTGTGAGACTTCCTTGTTTGTGCTTACCTTTTGAAGTGCAAATACACACAGCCTGGGAGAAATCGAAAGGATGGCAGTGCTCCCTGCAGCTCTTGCAGTTGACGGGTATCAAAGCAGATGTTATTACTTTTAGTCACTTGGCATTCACAAGGTAGTAACTCGCACATATATATATATATACATACACACACACATTTTCCCCATTATATAAACACTTGATTGAACGACACATTTCAATGCCTTTGGATGACACTTCTGCCATGGCCGATCTGAGGCTCCATGATAAGGCAGATGCCGCCTCATTGGCAGCACACACTGGGTCTTCTTCGAGAAATGGAAGGCGTTCGTTTGAAGTGCCAGGGGTAGTCACGACAGTCTCTTCTTCCGTCGAGTCTCCGGTTTGACTTGTGAGGCAAAGCCATGCTGCCCAACTCATTCACGTGC